ACAACAGCAAAAAGAAGGTGATATTTCAAAAAAAATGGGTTAAAGGTACAGCGGTGTTTGAACCCACAACCTAAGAGACAAAAATGTGCAACAACAAGACCGTGTTCACTGTTCCATTTCCGCAGCAACGTATCTAATCGTTATTACGCACTTGGCGCGGTTTACGCAACAATAAGCTCGGTGTGCCGCCGCCGCCGCCCTCTCACATTTCCCACAGTGTACCTACCCGTCATTACCTCTCCCACTTTGTTACAGAGAGGGGCCCTCCTTCATTTCTTCCGCGCGGCCCCCCTTCGTCTGCTTTTGAGCCATCCACGGTCTAAAATGTAATTTCCACGCCACGCCTGCCGCGGCGAGAGAGAGAGAGAGAGAGAGAGAGAGAGAGAGAGAGAGAGAGAGAGAGAGGGGGGGGGGGCATCAGTCGCACCCTGTGGCTGGCCCCCATCCCCTCCCGCGCCCCGACGGGGTCCTATGACGTTTCCTGGAACAAGTCAAGTCACCCGAAGTCGCGCGCAGACCGCCCTGTTCGACCCTGTTGCCGGCCGAGCGCCTCTCTTCCGGTGGTAGGAACCTTGCTGGACCACTGGGCCACGCCCCACGACGGCGTCCTGGAGGGCAACGCTGACGCTCACGTCACCTCTCGCTGTCGGTTTTCCCTCTTCCTCCTCCTCGCCGTCGTCGTGAACGTGACGAGGCCGGAGAGGAAGGGTTTTAACGGTACGCAGGTATGTCGCCGGTGAAGCGGCGGCGGGCAACGACCACCAGACCAGACTCTGACCAGACCCAAGAGCGTCGTCGTCGTCGGCCGGAGTGCGATCGGTCATCGGGTTCCACGTCTTTTCAACAAAACACGTTGCACCGATTTGACATTGTATCGCCGGTACAAGGGTTGCTGCTGCACATCTGCACCCACATAGACACGACGAAAAGCAAAGCGAGTGCATACATGTCACACACTTCGAGCAGTGTGGACTGCCAAGTTGAGTGTGTGTAGATAGCAACGCTCCTTGGATTTTCATGCCTTCTATGGAGTCATTTCGCGCACACCTACACAAGTGTGTGCGACGCATTCGCACCCGCAGTGTTAGCACACGCTCGCTCGCCGTCACGTGACGCCGCCGTGACAACACGCGTCACATTCTGCGTCACGCGGGCGGGCGGTCAAGGCGTCGCGGAAGGGTTCGCGAGTATGTCCACGTCCTGGGGGGGG